CATCTGTTGAGCTGCCACCTGGTCTACTCCCTCAACGTTTGTGACACTCTATTGACTGGACGTCAGAGACAAGAATGAAGCTCATTTCGGAAGGGCTGTTCTTAACTCCTTTTTAATGTGACGTCCCACCAATCAGTAAGTGGGCTTGCTAGTCACCCATTCATGTGCATTCACAGAGACCACAAAGAAGAAAGAAGAACTGGACTCCTGCAATGCGCTATACGTGGGGCAGCCTTTGAAGATGGTTTTGACGACTGCAACTGGCACAGAACCGGGCTGCACGGCTGGTAAGTGGTGCTGCCGCACGGACTCATATCATGCCAGTTCTGCTCGGGCCCAATTCAAAGTGCTCACTTTGACATTCACGGGGGACCACTAATCACATGTCTTTAAGCTCTAGAAAGTTACAAGGGATTGTGCTCAGGTGCAGATTAAACCCATTTGTGTGTCTTCACAGAGGACCACTCAAAGAACCATGGGATTGTGCTCAGATGCAGATTAAACCCATTTGTGTGTCTTCATAGAGGACCACTCAAAGAACCATGGTTACTGGTAAATAACCCCTCTGTTTGCTTTGGTTTTCTTGAAATATTTGTCCTCTTCTGCCAAGTGAAGTTCACTTATCTGCCACTTCAGGGTTATGTTCTTTCCTGGTTGAATGACATCTTATCTCATTTCTCTCAGTTTAATAAAAACAAAAATAATATGGGAGCGTAACAGACTTCCTTTCTTCTACTCATATTTTAAAGGGCCATTTATTTGTTATATATTTTTTATTCTTCCTTTCCACTAGTGTGCTATAGGTGACAATACCTGGTTCTCCTCCCCAGTGTAGGGTCTCAAAACCCTGTGAAGAAAGTCAGACTGAGACTGTGACATATTAAGGGGGGTGTCTATCAGAGACAAGCATTTTGTAACAACCATTTAAAGACCCGGCACTGCATTAAGGCTGTGCATCGCACTCATAGGCATTCCATAAGAGTTGGTCACTACAGAAATGCCCATTGTGACTACCAACCTATTAGATCTTAGCTATGGGAATATGAGTTCACGAGATAGACATAGTTATACATCCCAGGGTGCCCCCCACAAAAAAGAATGGAATGGTAAACCACATCGGAGTATTCTCTACCTACAAAGCCCTGGAAGATGTCTCCATTAATCAAAATTCAGAACACTGTGTCTTCTGATACCATTGTTCTATGTGTGGTCCTGGGGTCATGGAAGTACAGAGTTACAGAAGCAGAGAGTGGAGGATAAAAACTAAATCTTTGAGCTGAGTCATTTTGCACAAAGGAGCCAATTTGTTCAATGCAAACATGCACTTCCCTCATTTAGTTTTAGCATAGAGTTCATGGTCCAGAGGCAGATCCCTTCCAATCCCAATAAGCCAAAACTGGGCTAGGGGATGGGAGAGAAAGGGGGGGGGGGCTGAAAATGACCAAACTTTAGATTGAGCAAATTTCAAGTGCATTTGGAAAGAAGGACTTGGGGATTTCTGGATACCCAGCAAGTATCCATGGGGAGAGGTTGTCTGCATATTTCTCTCAGGTGCCGTAGAGGTCATTGCAGAGGCATCTGTTACAACTCATGCTTTCTTTGAATGCTCATCATTGTTATCAAAGCAGTTCCTTGGCAGTTCAAATTTGCTGCATCTGGAAGTGCTCCTGGGAGAGTCATTAGGTATGTCCTACAAAGAAAATGTAGCTCTCCCGGAAACAAAGATCCTTATGATGGCATGCAGCCACTTCCAATTATTCCATTATGGTATCCAAAGTAGAAGTGGTTGATGCAGGATTGTTGTGTCAATCAATACCTGCTGGTAGACTGAGAGCCTCAATAACAGGAGTGGACGAACAGGGAAAATGAAAATATTTGTTCTTTCTAAAATTCAGACAGCCCAGGAGTTTTTGCGCAACAGAATTGGGAAAGGAATCAGGATTCAGAACCTGATACTGTATTGAAAAAGATTCAGGTGGCAGGGCTGTTTTGGAAGTTCATGGTCTGAAGCAGGACTCTGTCTACTTTGTCTGCTCAGCATGCATTGCATCTCTCTTCCATTTTCCTTAGTTATTCTCACAGGTTGTCACGAGGAAAGAGGCTGAACATGCCCGAGTTACTGAATTTATATCACAGCTATTAATTTATTCCATCTCTCCACCCCCATCCCTTCCATTCTGTTCACTTACATTTTCCCATATGGTGACTTTGGAAAATTCCTCTCTGCATAGGAAAGGACAGGAAATGCTCTTTGGGAGAGAGGGCTGCCTATTTTCTCTCTCTCTCTCTCTTTCCCTTTCTAGTTCTGCTGATCACATCTGGAAAGGATCTGACTTGGGAAAGGGGGAAAGTGTTCGGCGCTTGGAGTGTGTAACTGACATGGCATGAGCAAACAGTGGCTTTCTGTGGGGGGAGACCAGAGAAACATTTTCCCTTCGGACACTTTCATCTCTACCAGCTAAACAGAGGTGAGTTTCTATCAGTACTGTTTGTTTTGTAGTAGCATGATTCTTGGAAAACATTGCTTCTTGCTGCAGCTGCTTATAAACTCATTATGTCTATTCCACATTACCCAATAACCTGGCAACATGGAACAGAAATAATAGAGGATGTAGGAAAGTCTCAGAGCAGAGTACCTGGCACTGGGTTGACAGGTTTGGGAGAAACCTGGAGGAATTGTTAAATACAATTTTGTACTATGCGATAAGTATTTGTAAGGATCATTACTAAAGAAACAAGCAAAGCTAGAATTTATCCAGCTAAGTAAATTGTAACAGCTGAGAGAGCATGCGTAAATGATACGGTGTATGTCTTGTTGTTATTGTTTTTTACCTGATAAGATTTTAAACTCTTCACACATTTCAGAGTGTTGCAAGTTCACATTTTGCTCCCAGGTTGATGTTGGGTACTGGATTTGAAAAGCAGAAGTATCTGTGTTAGATATAGAGGGAGGAACACTAGTCACTCCAAGTAAACAATTTATTTATCTGTACCTTCTGGCAGACTTGGTTGTATTTGATGTTGTGCAATCTTGAGCCAGACTAGTTAGAGACGGTGCACAGACCAGAGTGAGATGAATGAGAAGTTTGGATAAGGCACAGTCAATAATAAGAGTGGCACTATTCTTTGAAAAAAGAAAAATGTGCTGAGGATTTCCTTGAACTGAAAAAAGGACATGAAGAAAGCTTTCCTGGTTTTACTGCCTTCTCTGGTGAAAGCCAGCAGATGTTCTGTGATGCCAAATACTTCTCTGTGGTACCACAGCAGCTATTGCTTTGAAGGGAGGGGGGAGAGATTATTGTAGTGATGACTTTTCTGAAGTAAGGATGAGCAGACAAAATTTGCAGTCACCCCTTAAGTATCCGTGGCACTAATTTCACCCTCTGTTCCAAAAAAATGCATGCTTTGATCCTTTGTTCCAACAAAATGTATGTCAGAATACATTGAAATTAATGGACATATTCTGGAATACATGCTATTATATAAATAAATAATCATGTGCTCTCAAGATAATTCTGGCTTATGGTGACCCCTTTTTAGGTTTTTCCAGGTAGAGAACAGTCACAAGTGGTTTGCCATTCCTTTCTTTGGGGGTGCTTTGGGACTGTGCAGGTTGCCCAGGGCCACACAGGCTGGGTCTACTCATAGGAGGTGCACTGGGGAATCAAACTCCCAACCTCTGACTCTGCAACCACCTACCTAGCCAGCATATATTCTGATTATGATACCCAGTGCGATCTGATATGTAGTGGATAGAGCTATGAACTAGGGCTCAGGAGACCTGGGTTCAAATCCCTGCTGAGCTATGGAAGCTCACGGGGGAGGTGGGATGAGTAAAAACACTCCTTGAATATCTCACTTATCTCGAAAGCTGTATTAGGATCACTGTAAATTGGTTCTGACTTGGTGGCACATAACAACAATATATTGTGATTACACAAGCCATTCAACTTTTTTCAAAAAGCCTTTAAAATGACTTGTGCATCAGAAAGATTAAAATGTTTCATTGTCAGTGGAACAGTTCCAGGGAAAGAAGTCATTTAAGGTTTGGTGACTGATAGAAATTGGATTGTGATCAACAGACAGCTTGGATCCAATGTCTGAAGTATATGACAGAAAAAAATTCTGAGCCTTTTTTTTTTTTTTTTTTTGGAAACACAGTTATCTGTATAAATTGAAATATCAAGAGGCTTGGTAGAGCCATGTGCTTATAGTAGAATTTTAGACAATCATGTTATTTTTAAAAAGTATTTGTTCAAGAGTGAACTGTTCCAAAAATTTTTTAATGTATTTTTTCAACCCACCTATGTTTATTCGGGGAAACAATCTGTGCAACCATATGCCTATCTTCCTGCCCTTCCTCTCTAAATTGGTGCAGATCTCTTGATACATTCATTGCTCTTCCCTTAGGAAAGAAATGTTAGAAGCTCAGACTTTGATGTATTGGACTTATGGTGAAGAGGGTACTGATTGCCATATCCTAGTTCTCCAGCAATAAAAAAAATTATCAGGTGCCAAAATGCCATTTTTAAACTCAGGTATTAACAGAAGAAGCTCAGGCTTCCATTGTGCCTGTTTAACTCAATGAAAGAGACTAAACTGCTACTTGGATTTACAGATTTTCATAGGAATGTAGGAGTATGTTTACTTTTACAATGCACTCTCCCTAGCATTTGCTCTTTGTAAATGAGGCATTTCCATTTGATTTCCATGTGCCAACCTTTAAGAAAAGAGTTAATAATGATCTCCAACTGAATGCTGTTTCCCTATTTTCATTAGAAATGCACTTCACGTTCCAAACTCTGCTACCTGTGCTGTGGTTGCTGGTGCTTTGTTCCAGCTGGATTCAAGGTCAAAAGAATGAAGACAGCAACGAGTTTCTGGAAAACTCATCTGAACTACTTGATGTGGAAAGTAATTCCTTGGCTGTGCCTTGTCCTAAAAAATGCACCTGCAGTCCGGAAGGAATTGTGGATTGTGGAGGGTTTTCGCTGAAGGAATTCCCCATAGATATACCAGAAATGACAAACCACCTTTCCTTGCAGGTAGAGAAGAGCCAAAGAAAGCCTGTAAACTCTAGGGGTGGGGGAGGTCAGAGTTCCCTGTTGCCTCATAGGTGCCTGTATAATGCAAGCCATGCAAAATGGGCTAAGGTTTTCCCTTAGTTTAAAATGTTTCGCGACAGACTATGTGTAGCATATTATTTTCCGAAGTCCAAATTCATACCATTCTGCATTCAACAGCAACCCATGCCAGCTCATTCTTTTGGAACTGAGTTCAGTTTTCAAAGCAGGTGTGATAGACATGGCCGTTTCTTGTTGGAGAGGAGCATGATCATACGATAATAGAGTAATGAAGTTGGAAGGGACCTATAAGGCCATTAAGTCCAAGCTCAATGCAGGAATTCAAATCAAAAGATATCTGCCGGGTGGTTGTCTAAATTTCTCTTGAATGCCTTACCACCTCTTGAGGTAATTGATTCCATTGCTGTACTGCTCTAATGATCATGATGATGTAAAAAATAAATCATGAATATGCCACACTTTTGGATATGGCTAAAGTGCCTCTTTATATCCTGTTTTACTCGATCCTCTCTTGAGTTCTGTATGTTACAGGGGAAACGGTGACTTGCACCTGTAGCGGGTGTTACAGCACAGAGAGCTGGGCCAATTTAAAGAAAGCCTTAAAAGATTACTTGAAAAAAGCAATACATTATCCATTGTTTCTTGCTGGTATCATCTTATAAGGTAAAGGTAAAGGTTCCCCTTGACAATTTTTGTCCAGTCGTGTTCGACTCTAGGGGGCGGTGCTCATCCCCGTTTCCAAGCCATAGAGCCAGTGTTTCTCCGAAGACAATCTTCCGTGATCACATGGCCAGTGCGACTTAGACACGGAACTCTTTTACCTTCCCATCGAGTGATCCCTATTAATCTACTCGCATTTGCATGCTTTCGAATTGCTAGGTTGGCGGGACCCGGGACAAGGGACGGGAGCTCACTCCGTCGCGTGGATTCGATCTTACGACTGCTTGGTCTTCTGACCCTGCAGCACACAGCTTCTGCGGTTAGCCCACAGTGCCACCACGTCCCGCTTATAAGTAAGATGTTAATGTTTAATGTTGCTTCTTATCAGTAAGAAGCATTTTATTAACATCTTTCTGTCAAATTTAAAGAAAAATTAACCTACTTGGGTTCTTTTTAAGGGGAAAGGCATATCTATCAAGCAATCAATCCGTCAATTAATAAATCAGCCAACCCAAAACTGCCCAACCCCTTGCCAAAAAAATGATGCTCGGCAATGAGTAAACATTGTTAATATAAAAATTGCAACATTTATATTGTTATAAAATGTTCAAATTGCATAATCCTGCTCCTTGTTACCCAAGGAAGTAACATGTTACAGGTAACAGAATTACTCTTAACACATTACTTCCAAGTTCTTTATCTGAGAGATAAAGCAGTTTTATCATTCAAATCCAGGAAAAAAGGGCCCTGTTGTTTCAAAAAGAGTACTTTCCACTTCACCTTTAATTCCTGATGGATCTTTTTTTCTTCCTCCAGAATAACCAGATAGAAGAAATCTTTCCGGAAGAACTTGCACGTCTTTTTAGGCTAGAAACGCTCAATTTGCAAAACAACAGACTCACGTCCAGAGGTAAGATGAAAAACATCCAGTATAACTTCTGGGTGCACGTGACAGAAAACCAGAATGAGCTTATAGAGAGACTGTTTCTTCTATTCTGGTACAATGAATTAACTGTGGAATTTAAGTACAGTCCAGCTTCTATATTCTCTTTAGCCTCTTTTGTCTAATAGCATAATATAAACCATGCTGCAGAACTGTCAAAATGTATATAACCAGTTTTAAACATGTGCAACATTACTTATCTTCCTTTATGGACCTGAATCAGTAGTCAAGAGTGTAGTAGACAACACAGGAAATCAGAGGTCATTAATCAAAGAGAAAAGTAAATCAACATGTATACAAATATTCTTAACTGTTGCTGTTAATGGACATAACATGAAGAAGCTCTTCAATGCCTGAAATGTAACGTAAACTGCATAATATGAAAATTAAAGGAGGATGGCAAAATACATACAGTATTGCAATATAGAGTAGGCATGTTTAGGAAATGCTTTCCAGGTACAATTTACCTGGTTGCACATAAGCCTTGTATATGTATATGTATATGTATATGGTCCTGACAGTGCAAGGAGTAGCAGCTGTGATCTCCTGTCTATTTCTGCTGGATCCCCCATCTGTTTCACTCTGGAAAAGGAACAGGCATGTATGTTATCAACTTCTCCTGAGCCCTGAAACACAGTTTTGAGGCAAGTTGGACCTGTTGCCTCAGGTGTTGCTCCAATTCCTGAGGAAGGAGATGCCAGAGATGGCCTCAGCATCCATTTCCCTTAGAACCAAACTGGCACTACCCCATTGCCTGTCTTGAACCTGCCGTTTTAGGTGGGATGGAGAGAGGGTGCCAACTTGCTTCAGGCAACAAATTGTCTTAGAATTGCAGGGCCTTTCCTGACATGCACAGGACAATGGCATGGTCAACACCAAATACAAAGAGCCCTATGCCAGCTAACACCACACTAACACTCTGCTATATAAACAAATCCTCTGCCAGCACTTGGAGTTACATTTTTTGACTACAAACCGCAAAATCCCCCAGGCAGCAGGGGGAAGCAAAAAGTCCAGGCTCAAGGCTTGTCCCTTCAGAGCTTTTTAAATAATGAAATTGTTGAGAATAATTTTTTCCACACTGAGGATAGGAAGCATTCTAGAATGGAAGCATTCATACTGTACTTGTACATGTGATGCGTTAAGAAATATTTGGTAACTTTTAGAACAGTTCAGCACCACAAAGAGGCAATAGAATCAACATCTTTGAAAATGTACAAACACTGAATAAGAGATATTTTAAGTACATGATGTGGTTTCTTGGAACAGATAATTCTAAAAGAGCTTCTCTCTTATGACTGTTATTTCTATTGTCCATTCATTATCATACATCAGCCTGTGCTAAGAGGGGTGAAATGTAATCTGTTTCCCACTTCAGCTTGCAATAAGTAATTAACTTACTTTTACAAGAATTTTTTGTCAATTTTCTGAACGACATAATTACATGCACATAGATAAGATGTTACCCATACATGTGGAGCCTAACAGACCTATGTATGTAAAATGGAGCCCTACTTTCAAGGTTCTTGCAGCAAGAAGGATCAGAAGGAAAAAAGATATGCAAATACTGTACTTTTGTATATTCTTAAAACTAGATATTGAGGAGGAATTCGAATGAAGTGACTTTTGAAGACAAACTTAAAATATTTAGAGGGGAGATGGGAAAGAAAAATGTGAGAATGCAACTTGTATATACAGGGACTGTTGGGAGGAAGCGCCGGTTCTACCTTTAGGCAGATGGTTTCTGGTTGCAGACACTGAGAGCCAGCAACAAGGAAGGAAAAGTTATAGGCCACGTGGCTTGACTTGTAACCCCTAAACTCTTCAAGTATGTTAGAGAGGATCACCATTATTGCACAAAGATTCAGCCACCAACTTTTTTTCTATATGCAAGAGGGCAAGATACTACATTGTTCTTCAGTTCAGGCAGAAAAATGTTTGGGGCCAGCCGTGCTCATAAATGGAGCAGCAAAGCATTACGTTTTGAAATGTTTAAGGCAATGGCTGGCAGAAGACAAAGCAGAATCTACAGTGAATTCCAGTAGTCTGGCAAAGTGTTCTTCTGGCTAATTCCTAATTCTTTAACAGTTACAATAACAAAAAGTTTCCCATCCCTCAAAAAGAAAAAGGAAGGAAGGAAGCCTGTGGGGAGAACCAAGAATGTTGTCTGTCTGTCAGTTGTGGGTCTGGGGGAAAAAATCAAGGGTTGTATATAAGTGTTTACAGGCAACTAGTTGCACTTAAAGTTGTAATGTCTTGTCCTTTAATAAATCTATCAAAATAAATCCAGGTGAACTTTTAAGGGATTTACTTCCAAAGCAGGTAGACAAGGAGGTGCTACCCCGTCCTTATAATTTGCATCTGGCTCCAGGTGGTGGCCCTTGTGTTCCTAAGTAAACAAACACACAAACACACCTTAATATTGACATCCCCTTGAGAGACCAGGAAACTGGACTAAGGGTAGTACCGTAACTCAATGGTTTTGCTGAATAGTGTGAGATTGGCATATAATGTTGCCTATTAGTAGCCATTAATAAATGCAATATGTAAAAATAAAACAACAGCAATAGAAATATTAGTATTAAATGTGTTCAACAGCATCCTGTCCCTATTACCAAGTCTTTCATATACTAGCCCACAGCTTTTATTATTACTTTTATACTAATTCTAATAATACAGAATTATTATGATCCAAAGATCTACAGAACAAGTCCCTCATTTTAAATAGAGCTTTTGGTCTCACCTTCCTATAATCATCATTATCATCTTAGAACTGCAGGGCTGGAAGGGTTCTAATGGATCCATTAAGTCCAGCACTTGTCAAGAAGGCGCATATCTTGCATGTTGAAGAGAAAGACAAGTAGCCCATGATTAAAAGAAGGAATACCTTAACTATATTCTCGAAGGCTTTCACGGCCGGGATCTGATGGTTGTTGTGGGTTTTTCGGGCTCTTTGGCCGTGTTCTGAAGGTTGTTCTTCCTAACGTCAGAAAGAACAACCTTCAGAACATGGCCAAAGAGCCTGAAAAACCCACAACAACCATCAAATTCCTTAACTGCTGAAAATGTGTAATTGTCACAACAGGTGCTTTTCATGGCTCTCATAGTTTGTAAATTAACTTGCTTTGTATTGTGATCGGTTACCACCAGTCACTAAGCACAGGTTTATTTGCAAGTATTGTTTCTCAGTCCTGAAGGTCTTCCAGAATCATGAATCTTCTGGAACATGAATGGATTCTGTTGAAATCAAAGTGGGGAGTCGTCTGGCCGTTACAAAATACAAATGCATGAATAGGCAATACCTTTATAGGCCACTAATAAAAATTTAAAAATCATACAATATGTGAGCTTTCATGGGTAAATCCCACTTCTTCAAAGTAAGTACCAAAAGTCCAAACATTTGTGACATGATGGGGTTTGCAAGGAGTTTACTCTTAGATGATGATATACTGTCTATAACAAATACTGTGGCCTTGAGAATCAATCCAGCATATGTTTACAAGAAATGCTTCCTCAAGTGGGGGGAGATATCTTTCCAATATAGCACATGATTTTCCCCACCTATGTATCTTGCACAGTTTGGCATGCTTTGTTTGTGATTTGAATTGGACAATAAACATGCAATTATCATGCAAGTCCGAGTGCTGAAACACTACAGTATCTCTGAAGAAATCACTCTGAGGAAATCTTTTTATTGGTAGGAAAATATCTAGTTTGGATATTCAAAACCAATCAGCTATCTGGGTCATAAATCTGCTGTTTGAAGCAAAATAAACAATGAGCAAATCCAGGCCTTTGGTGTGCTATAAAGTAGATATTTGGATGATCCCAAATTTATATGGAATTGTAAGTAAAATAAATTAAAAATCTGATACTTCCCATTGTTTTAAAAGAGTGGGAGACATATCAACAAAAATTGTTCATTAATAGAAGTTCTATAAAGCAACATCTTTCAAGCAGGGTACTTACTATTTGTTGAATATTCCTATTATTTAAAGGGCTTCCAGAGGAAATATTTGATCAACTGGAGAACCTGAATTATCTGTACCTCGCAAACAATCAGGTAAGCAAATATCATAACTATAAGATCTGCTGTTGATTATATTTGTAGATAATTATTGGAGAGATAGAAACCATGAAGTACAATAGTCTAGTATTTAAACACATTCTAATCAACAAGACTATGTAGTTTCCTTGTAAAGAATGACACATTCTTCTTCAGAAAGAAAAGAATGATTGGCAGCCTAATACACCAAAAGAATTAGTTTAGGGATCAGAGGAACAGAGGTACATCTTCAGAAAGTGGGGAGGGGGATAGAAAATGGGTGGCTGGCAGGGAAGATACCCAAGATCTGTAGTAAGCCTGAGTGACACAAGTTGCCCATATACGGCATAGATAAACATTCACAAATATCTTCCTAACTGTGGGTGGTTTGTTTAATAATTATACTCTGTGGATTTGCGGTATTGCAGCTAAGAATGAAAAACGCAGTTACAGGAAAAGGATGGGTGGGTGGGTCGCAGACAATAACATCAAACCATTCCACAGTGTTGCACAACAGTGGCTATTTGGTGTGGTTGAATTCAAAGGTTATTTAGAATTTCTTGGAAAAATGTAAGAAAGGAAAACTAAACTGAGCAATTTCCCCCCATATGCCTGGTGAGTCTGGCAGATATACAAGTCACATGCAGTTGCACATAATCAATGCCGCAAGAATGCAAAATCCTTGTTGTGCACAGGAAAAGTGACAGATGTTTTCTGAAGCAGTCGCCAAACTTCTTTGATATGTGAGAGTGTAAGGGCCTGTCCAGCATGACTACTTTGGTGTGGTCTGGATTGGGCTACATAGGGCCAGTTGAGGTCCCGTGGGGGGGGGGAATGATGTGCCATTTGATGTGCTCCTTCTGTCCAAATACCATATTGACTTTCATGTCAATTAAACACGTCCCCTGATCCTCTGTGGAGGGTCAGGGGACCCATTTTGCCATGGACTTTTAAGTTCTTCACACTGGATACATGCCTGATGAAGTGTCCCTGATCCACAAAAGCTCACATATTGTATGATGTTTTTATAGTGGTCTATACAGCTATCGCCTGCTCTTGCATTTGTATTCTGTAGTGGGAGGAACCCTTAGATCCTTTTGATCTGTTAAATTGATTCTTTGCTCCTAAAAAGTTAACAAGCCTTGAGAATTATTGTGCCAGTGCAGGACCAGGAAATGTTTCAAATAGATGAAATATCTTCCTGGCTGGTCTCCCACACCGTTCCACATGTTCTGAGCACATTCCTTACAGATTTGGAATCTTGCATTTGTGTCCATATTTGTGCAAAACTAAGATATGCAGAGAAAGGAAGGGAAATCTTACTAACCTTTGGAGCTAAACTGTGCAACTCTCTGCAATTTCCCTTTTCCACCATACCCAACATGTCTGTCTAGCTGGAAACTGAGGATTTGGGTGGCCACCGTGTAAAGGAAAATTGTAGTAACTCATCAGTTCTCAAATTCACTCTATTGTGATGGAGGTGCCATATCAAACTGCTTCTCCAGTCACATCATATCCTCTCCTCCCATTTACAGCAATTTTCCATGTAACAGGTCTGGCAATGAGCCGTTCCATAAAAGAGGAAAGCTTGCCAGGCTGTGACTAATATTCCAGGACATTTACTGTATGTCCAGTTTCCCTATTTCGTGTGATAAAAGAGTCATTAACCTTTCCTGTTGCTGTTGAACAAAACTGCATCCAAATAACAAAAGCAAACTAGCTTTATGCATTTTTACAGTGAGACATAATAGACACAAAAAAGTGGTTTAATAGTGTCACGTTCCCATCTGTCCCTTGGTTGTTTCACCAATCACAGGACACAAGCTACGTGTCATGTCGCTGCCACCAGTTGATTACATCAACATTGTTTATATTAATCACAGAAGTCTAGACAATGTATCATTTTAAAAAAGAACCAAATAGAAGTTGTTTATTATTACAGGTGATAGAAGTACAATCAATGTCGTTAACTCTTAACATCCTACTTCATCCACTCTCAACTGCCAACCCTCTCTCTCTACTCCAGACTACAAAACCACCAATCCTTTAGTCTCCAATCCCCAATCTCTCATCTCTCTCATCTCCCCTGCAAGGACTCTTATATCTCGTGACTCCACCTCTCCAGCACTCTCATTGGTCCATGCAGATAGCACATTAATATTAATGACTGGGCGGACGCCACAAACAGCTTTGCATATTTGGATCTGTGCCAAACATACTGAGAAGTGGGGCAGTGAAATACACCTGCAGTAGGAGATACTGTAATTGTGACTTGTTCATGGTGGGAATGAAGTCACAGGCAGAACTTGAGAACAAAAGTCTAGTGTTGATGTTAGTGTCATTTCCAACTTATGGAGACCCTATGAATTACTGAACTCCATTAGTAGCCCTGTTCAGGTCTTGCAAAAAAAAAAATCTGTAATAAATATTCTAAATTAAATAATCTATACTACTTTTTTAAAAGGGAAGATCTATACACCGGAAATCTCAATTTTTTTTCAATTTTTTTAAATATTAGTGGATAAGAATCTTACAAATGGAAAGTGTGGCTTGGCATGTTCCCCTTCACAATGCCAGCCAACCCTGCTAGTCATCAAACACTCCGTTCCATACTTCTGTCTGAACAGTTTTCTATCCCTTCATCTGTCAGTCAACAGTCTGTGTCCGCTGAGTGCAGTCAGTCCTTAGGTGTATTATATTTGCCTCATAGGTGGAGCTGGATGGTGCTGTTTTAGCTGTTTTAAGCATAAGCACTCACACCTGAACAGGAAAAATTGACAGAAAGTTCTGGCTCCGCTACATAATTGGCCAGAACCAAGGAAATCAGTATACTGTACTAATATTTAATTTGCAATGTATAGAAAGATTGTGAATCTGTGTAGTTTAATGGATGCAGTTTTGGACTCCAAGAGACGTGGATTCAAATCAACAAATGGCCATGAAAACTCAATTTAGGGGGGAGCAATGGTAAACTACTCCTTGAACATCTGACATACTTCAAAAACCCAACTGGGTTTCCAAAAGTTGGATGTGAACTGACAGCATGTAATGACGACAACAGCCAATAAAGAGACCAGGGGTTTTTCAAAGCACAAAGTTTAACTCTACTATGATTAATTTAATTTTGGAGTTAGATTTTGAAGAATGATTTGAACCATTCTTGCTGAATTTTTAAAACATTATTTAAAAAACAAATTAATTTTAAGGTAGACACAATAATGTTTCTTACAACTCTAAAATCAATGTAACTGTAACATAGCTGTGATTAAGAATGTTCTGTAAGGCAGTGTCTCCAACCTTTTCTGAACTGTGGACTGGTTGGGGAGGCGGGGTCCATGTGCGGGGGGCACCCCCCAATGGTGGGTGGGTGGGGTGCGCTTGCACGTATGTGCATGTGGGTGGGGCACCCGTGCATGCGTGTGGACGTGCAGGGGGGAAGTGCAGGGTGGGTGGGAGATCTGACTCTGCAGCCCGGTCCTGCGAAGGCCACGGACTGGCAGCAGGCCACGGACCAGGAGTTGGGGACCCCTGTTGTTAGGAAACTCCAATCGAAGAACATGCATGTACATTCTTGGATGCACTATTGAGTTACAAAATATTTCCCCTGTGGGCATGTTGTTCTTGTGTTCTCATATAGTCCTCACCTTACAACTGGTAATAAAGTAATATTGACTTACGTTTCCAAATGCCCACAGATGAGAGTAAGATTCCTAAACTGCAGCCATGGCTTTAAAAATGTATATGAGAAACATCATTGTCATATCTTTATATTGCATTCTGTCCAGAGGTTGTCAAAACTAAACTTCAGCAGAACCCCTGCCCTGGGTTCTTGTTTTGTCCTGGGACTTTATCGGAAAAGGGTACTGAGTTATTTCTGAAAGGAATAATAAACAGAAGATAAATTGTATTTTCCAGGCTTACTGAAAAAGCTAAACTGTATCCTACAGTGATTACTTGAAAAATACAGAAATATTCTGTACTTTGAAGAAGCTTTGACACAGAGGGACTTGATGAGGCTTTTCCTTGTTGAAATTTCAGCAACCTGCATGTCATGTCTTTAGGATGTTTGGATGGAAGGGACTTTAGGGTGAATGTCAATCACATAGTAGCAGCTAATTATTCCTTCTCTACCTCAGATTCATTTTTACGCAGACAGGGTTCTGACACTAAGTGTTCTGTGTGCATTAAAACCTGAGAGTTTTGTAGTCAGCAGAAATGTTTCCCACTTCTAACAATACTTTCCATACCTTTGTTGTAATGCATCATGGTCATGTGATATATATACCTAGATGAACATCCCGATGTGTTTTAATGTTACTGATTCATTTTCTTCAGTTTGAATCATTATGGCCGGCTACAGCATGGTACCGATTTATTTCTCTCTTGCTTTATGGGGCACTGCAGCCCTTTTAATTTTTTTTAAAATTTAAACAGTACATCAATATGTTGGGTACTCTTTCCTGAGGTGCAGACTTTCTCCTGTTGTGCCGGCACCTCTGGAAACAATGCATTGTACGCAATGGACCCAGCACCCCCACCCAGGGCAATGGACCCACCACCCCCACCCAGGGCTGTTCCGCTTGCCAGACAGTAAGTGGAGTACTGTGACACCTACCAAAGCCTTTAAAGCTGTTGACATAAATTTACCAATGTATCAATACTCAGGCTGTGGCATTTTAAAAAAATTATAGAAGGGTAGCTGTGCGATAGTAATGGTGGCCACCTTCCCCAGTGAATTTGCTTTGAAAAAATATAAATAGGATCGTATACACATGCCATACTGCTATGGAATATATTGAAACACCACAAGAACAAAAAAAATCTAGAAGCCTTCTGGTGAGTGGGAACTGGACTGTAGTTAGCCAGTAAAATAAATCACTGATGATCATGTGTCATGTGACCACAAATTTATCCTATGCTCTACGTAGGGAACAATTCCATCATGTGATCACACCCTGAATAAAGTATTTGTGTAACCAGTCGGTTAGTCAAATAATAAAGTTAACCTGTTAAGATCTCATGCTTTATAACAAATATGTTTGTTTGTTTTTCGTATATATATGAAGATTTATGAGTAAAATAGAAACTTCTTTGTTCTTTCTCAACATCAGAGTCTCTGACTTAATTTATTTAGACTATACAGTATTACTATATTGCTCACTGAAGTAAAACAAATCAGACAATAAGGGGTGGTATATTTGAGGGAAGACTTGAAATTATAACAATCTGCCTGGTAGTTCCTTGTCTGGATTGTTCTCCACTCTGTAGCTGAACGTTTTAAGTCAGCAATTTCCATACTTTGCCAATATTCCTAACATTTTACATTTTCTCATTGAAATGAATAGCCTAACACTATTCTCATGCAAAACTCTATAGTGATGATGGTTGAAGCATTTGTGTCTTAGACAATGATCTCTTTTTCTCCAGCTCACAGTTGCTCCAAAATTGCTCCCAAGGTCTTTGATTAGTGCAGATTTTGCAGCCAATAACCTCACAAAGATTTATGATCTCACATTTGGACAGAAGCCAAACCTGAGGTAAAGAACATGATTTAAGAGTCAATGGGAAGAGAGGAACAATACTGTATATGACTATGCCGGGTGGGAAAAAGTAATGCATTTAATTGTTTAATAAAACTACTTGCAGCTTATGAATAATATTGGGAGGAAGGGGGTTGTTAGTTCTAGAAAGAACATACATCAATTTCCTTTACATTTCTGTTCTGTCAATTGCAGAACAAAATTTCTCAGATCTGTCTTTTACTCAGAAATTTTGCTCATTGCCTCTGTGACCTGCTTTTTGAGAGGGAAGCATTTTTATTTTCTGATTTATATTCATTCAGTATCTAACCGAGCAAGGGTGGGAACCTCTTTATCCCCAGGAGTCAATGAGAAGATAAATTCAATTTCAAATATATTTGTGTTAGGACAGGACCTAACACAAAAGGGTGGAACCAAAAATGAAAGCAAAGCAAAAGCAAAGCGTGCTGCTTATATACCGCCCCATAGCGCTTCAAGCACTCTCTGGGCGGTTTACACTTTAATTATGCAGGCTACACATATTTTAAAATATCAGCATATTTTAATGTACAGCTCTTAGTGACCATAATCAAGCAGAGATTTCATCCTTTTACAATGGGCAAAGCCACAAAAAAGATGGGATCCTGCCAAATGATAGTGTAAATGAGGTTGGAATAGTGGCAAGGACTATGGCTCCTTACTCACACCCAGTGAATTATAATAAAGAAGGTAATATAGTAACACACACTCCATATTTTGAGTGGTGAGAAGTTCTGGAGATGCAGTTTACCTCAGTCCGAGGTTACTGCTACATTAGCAACAGGGAGCAATTTAGTCCGGGTCACTTTGGAATGGTTTGGAATGGTGGCGCTTGTTTAGATTACTCCTGCAGCCCCTGAAGCTGTGATCTAGTCAATCATATGTTGGCATTAGGCCACTCTGTTTTGTTTTGTTTCGTTGCAACATGTCCCCTCCTTCCCACTCTCTCCCTCCTGCCTTCTCTTTTGCAATAGCTATCAGCTGGTTGGGAAACAGCCTATTTCTGTTTACTTGCAGGTGGGTATTATTGCCATTTTTAAGGCACAGAAAGGGGATGGGGTATAGAGTTCCACGATTCAGCCCCATATTTCTCCTTTTCTCCTTCTTTTTTTAAAAATGAATTCTTGGTTAGTGGCATAGGGCTACATTGTTTCATCGCTGATGAACTCCAAGTGACTGGCTTTTTTTCATTTCTGAAATACATTTCCATTCAAAAAAAACCAAAACATTGCTGCCTACTGTGCTCTGTGGTCTTCATTGACAGATGTTGAGCAATGTCAACTTTACAAAACTGGCAGGCAATAAACGTCTGCAAAGGCAAAGCTGCACCTGCCAGGATATCATCTTCAGCCCTTCACCTTATAGTGCATAAGGGATGCAGTGCAATAGCGGAAAGTATTTTAAAAAAATACAATTTAAACCAAAAATGCACCCTTTCCACTTCAAAATAGGATGGAGGGTGTCATCTGTAGTCATGGTCAGACCATAACCACCTCTGCACATCACCACTGACATGTAGGAAAAACATACTCCCATCCGCTCACTGCAGAGATCCAGCAAATGAGCAGCAATTGGTGGGTCTTCATGGGGCCTCAGGAAAGTTGGCTGTTATTTTTCATTCAAACAGAAAAAAAGGTAAAGCATTACCTCCATAACTTTCACCAGTGAGAAGAATAAGACAGACATTTCCACTAACTCCCACACGTAAAATTGTCATAGATCACAAGCTAAATATGAGTCAACAGTGTGTGATGTGGCTACAAAAAAGGCAAAGGTGATTTTAGGCTGCATTAATAGAAGTATAGTTTCCAAATCCTGCAAGGTGCTAGTCCCCCTCTATTCAGCACTGGTTACTCCTCACCTAGAGTATTGTGTCCAGTTCTGGACACCACACTTCAAGAAGGATGCTAACAAATTGGAACAAGTTCAGAGGAGGGCAACAAGGATGATCAGGGGCTGGAAACCAAGGCGTATGAGGAAAGACTGAAGGAACTGAACCTTGAGAAAAGAAGACTGAGGGGTGATATGATAGTATTTTTCAAATATTTGAAAGGCTGTCATACAGAGGAGGGGCAAGATCCGTTTTCAATCACCCCAGAGTGCTGGACACGCAACAATGGGCTCAAGTTAAAGGAAGACAGAATTTCAGAAAAAAAATCCTGTTAGAGTAGTACGACAGTGAAACCAGTTACCTTGGGAGTTTCAGTAGAATTTCAGGGGAAAAAATCCTGTTAGAGTAGTATGACAGTGAAACCAGTTACCTCGGGAGTTGGTGAAGAAAAACTTGAATAATCACCTGGCAGATATGCTCTGATTGTATCCCTGCATTGAGCAGGGGGTTGGACATGATGGCCTTGTAGGCCTCTTCCAACTTCACTTTTCTATGATTCTATGAAAATGCATAAACTAAATACATTTATTACTAATTAGAGCTATCAGGCTACATGTCTTTCTGCATAACCAAAGAGCTGTGTACTAGCATGTTCAGAAATCTGCCCTCCAGGGGCCAAACTCTTGGGATGTTTAATTGGCACACTATTAATACATGTTTCAGCAATGATTGTGGTGGTTATTTCGCTGCCTCCTTTACCTTTCTTGTGCAGTGAGAAAGATGCCATCTCTCTTCTTGCACAAGGCAGTAGTTTACTCTGCGCTGACTCTTTATCCAGTTTTTGCCCTTCTTTCTCTTAGGTCTGTGTACCTTCACAATAATAAACTTGAAGATGCTGGGTTACCAGAGAGTATGTTCAATGGTTCTGACAACGTGGAGGTCTTGATCATGTCCAGTAATTTCTTAAAATATGTCCCAAAGAACCTGCCACGAGCCCTGTATAAGCTGCACCTCAAGGTTTGTTTCTTTTCCATTAGCCCTTTCCCACCAGGTTTAGATTGTGTCTCTTTGCCTATCAGGAGCTAAGACATTAGAAATTTCTTGAGATAATCTATCCGACTGGGCATAATCCTGTTGATGGCAGCTAACAGGCAAGGTGCTAGGTTGCATCTTGGTCACATGGATGGTCATTTGTCTGACTATGCAATTAAAATGCACTCTGGCACCTTATTAGTAAGCTGCAATTAACAATTGTAAAGGGGAAGCCTGAGAGAAGTGGCAGCTGAATTTTTTTTTAGGAAGACCCTTTATTAATGATGAAGTTGTGCATAGCATGACTTCATCATCTCTGCACCTTTAGTTTTGGCTTTGGCCTCCCATTGATGTTACTACCTATTATTGTACTACCTTCAAGAGCTCCGTCTTTTACTTTGAGAGCAATTATGTGAGAATTAATAGTTTAATGTTTTGCTTCCTATATTTCTTGTGGCAGAATAACAAGTTGGAGAAGATTCCCAAAGGAGCTTTCAGTGAGCTCTCAGGACTTCGGGAGCTGTATTTGCAGAACAACAAATTGACAAACGAAGGCATGGACAATGAAACTTTCTGGTGAGCTTATCAGTTTTCTTGAGTGGACAGCATTTCTGTGTAGTAATAGCTTTGCTGACTGATATGGCTATATATTTCTACCAAAAGTATGTCCTGTACACCTTTTTTAGGGAGTAAGCCCCAATGAAGATACTGGTGCCCCTTTCTCTATCATCCCTTACTACCCCATCCATTGCTTCTTATCCTGTCTGTCTTCAAGAAGAGATGCTGAGCTGTGGAAAGGGATAAATATAGAAAAGTGTGTGTGAGAGAGGTTTCACCCCCTATTCTAGGCATGTTCTGTTTTTTTTTTATCAACAGCAACATATACATCCCACTTTATAGTGATACTAGCCACTATGTGTTTAACAAACATATTTTTTTCTCTAGATTCTTTTAATTAAAGATAGGGGGCAAATTTTTGGATAAAGAGTCAGATTGCATGTTAATCTGTATTTCCTCATCTTACAACACTGTTCTGTACAAATATTCTAGAGCAGTGGTTCCCAGCCTTGGGTCCCTAGATGTTCTTGAATCAAAACTTCCAGAACCGTCACCACCAGCTGTGCTGGTCAGAATTTTTGGAAGTTGTACTCCAGGAACATCTGGGGACCCAAAGTTGGGAAGCACTGGTCTAGAGCAGGGATCTACAAACTTTTCAGTATGAGGGCCACATCATATATTTTACACATTTTCGAGGGCCAAAGGAGGAAAGGGGGACTCAAGCAATCCCCCACCCCCGCTGTCTTTGCAAAGACAGTAGAAGTAGGGGATCACTTAGATTGGGCTTCGCTCCTCTTCATATCCCTATTCGGGCATAGGAAGAGGAGGGAAGGAGGACCTAGCAATCACTTGGGTCTCCCTTGCCTCCTCTTCCTATGCTGGACTGGGTAAAAAGGCAAGGTGGGCTGTAGTTTGGAGACTCCTGGTCTAGAGGAAATCTGTCTGAGATATCACACATGCAAACCGAAGCCATGATATTCCAAACAGATGAATTATAAAACCAAAGCAGACACTAATTTGCCAAATGTAGATTGAGGCAAAATTGTGTCAGAATAAAAGAACAGTTTTCCCCTCTTAAGGGACCTCTGCATTGAATGATGCCTGAATGGTATTCTCTAGCTTGACCCTATATATGTGAATACATACTTCACAGTCATGTCTCATCTAGGTCTAGGATTTTGCCTGCCATAACCCTCTCCATCATATGACACTGATTTCTCAGCTCACTGGGTGGAAAATGTTCAGCTAGAGTCCATATAACATTGTACAGCTCTTTCTTTTCCTTTTCTATTCTGACTGGCACCATTTTTATTTTCCCAAGGAAACTTTCAAGCCTAGAGTATCTGGATTTGTCCAGCAATAATCTTTCCCACATCCCTGCTGGCTTACCTCGAAACATTGTCCTCCTCCATCTAGAGAAGAATGCAATTAAATCAATTGGCGCAGATGTCTTAACTCAGATCAAGAACCTGGAGTACCTGCTCCTTCACAATAACAAACTGAAGGCCCGTGGGATCCACCAGCAGGCTTTCCAAGGCCTGAAGAAGTTGCACACCGTCCATTTGTACAATAACCAGTTGGAAAAAATTCCCAGTGGGCTACCCAGACGGGTGAAAACTCTTATGATTCTTCACAACCAGATCTCAGAAATTGGTAGGAATGATTTTGCTTCCACTTATTTTTTGGAGGAATTAAACCTGAGTTACAACAAAATCACCAGCTCACAGATTCATCGGGAAGCCTTCCGTAAGCTGAGGCTATTGAAGTCCTTGGATCTTTCAGGCAATAACCTTCAAACCTTGCCTTATGGCTTCCCAAAGAACCTGCAAAGCCTGAAGCTGAAGGTGAATGAGATCAGCTCCATTTCCAAGGGCACCTTGTCTGGGATGGCGAAGTTGCAAGAGCTCTATCTGAGCAACAACAAACTGAAAAGCAGCTCAGTTTACAGTAATGCATGGCGGGATCTCACCAGTCTCAAGGTATAAACATTCTTATACTGTACATGGCATAAGTGCCAGTTTCATACAGGGAGAACTGTGGAAACAAGCAAATACTCAGACATATTACATCACAAGGAAATCCAGTTTCGAAAAACTAGAATAGATTTTGTGAAGGAAAGAAATGGTGCAAGAATGTTTATTATTTTAAAAGCTGGACGTGGAGTGCTCTATTATTTCACCACAGCATTTGAAATTTGGGCAATGGAAACCTAAGGACTAATAATCAAAGCAAAAGAAAGAGTGAGGCATTCAATGTGTTGCAGTGCAATCAATCAGTCAAACAAGGATTGCACTTTAAATTGGCAAATAGGTGATCTTCTATAGAAAAGATTTGCTCACATGCAAATCCAGTTTGCTCACATGCAAATTAATTCATGTTTCAAAATTAGTAACTAAAATCTGTTTTTCAGTTGCAGGGAAAGGTACACAGTTTCAGCTCTGCTACTGGATCAGGATCATCTTCATTCATGTATTTCAAGGGATTGGGTATTTGAAGGTGGCATGTGGCAACCATAATCCAGTGTTAATATAACTGAATACACAAAGTTTCAAACCTAGACTTAGAGAGCTATGCATTGTGTTCCCTGGGTCTTCATGAATTAATCAGTTTCATCTATTTCACATTGAAATACTCTAAATTTCAAGTTCTAAGTATGAAGATATTTGCAAATTATGGTAAACTCTTATAAAAACAAAATTATTGTTTTAACTTATGATTTGTCTTGAGTCAGTTGTAAAAATTCTAGGTACACTAAATTTTTATGGGAATTACTGGTGGATTCATTGTGTAAATACTGTACTATTTATTCTGGCAGTTACTTTTCACTTCATGCTGGTACAACAAACACATATCTATTTAAATTGTAACAGCATTGAATGCCAGTCAAAACAATTCCAGCTTCTACTGAACAATTGTTTATTTATTTTATATTCTGCTTTTCTCCTTAAAAAGGACCCAAGACAGCTTACAACAGTTAAAAGACTGTATTTAAGATGAGTAACAATTAGTATACAGTACAGTACTAAAAAGATCAATGCATATAATACCAAAAAACATAAGCAACAGCAAAACACATTCAATGCAATAAGCTACAGCAGTCCATTAAAAAACCCATTTGGCAGCCATAATAAACTATTATTGAAACATTTCCCTCCCAAAAATATTATGGTATAAAGAAAAGATTCAAAATGTTGAAAGGTGATCATATTTCAAAATGTTGAATGCTCCTTTTTCCTAAATAAGAATATATACAAGCTTTTATTTTGTTTTGACCATAGGAATAATTCTTTTGCATTGCTCCCCAATAATTTCTCTAATACCTGTTCCAAACCACAATTCTTTTGACTCATGGTTAGTTGAGTTTGGTAACAATCATTTAAGACACATAAGTATTTTATAACCACCTTGGGTGAGACTAAAACCTAAATATAGTAACTCAGTGAGCCCAGATTTAAATGCCTCTTATTACTTTTTCCCATTACTTATTTTTACCTTTTAATGTCTGTTTTTCTTGGTCCTGTTGAGAGTAAAGGCAAAAGCGCCAAAATGGCATGTTCCACTGGGAGCTACTCAAAGTGTAGCTCTGTAAAGCAACACGATTATCTGTCATTTCCAGCTTTATTTTTTCCAGAGCCAAAATGTTGAATAATCTTTTTGTGAGAATGTGAAATTCTGCCTGGTTCTTCTCCCTGTTGATTATCTCCACCTGTAAACAGCCTTTTGCAATACTAGCCCGGATCAACACTGATTAACTGCGCTTCTCAAAAGAAGACTCTTTTAATTATATAAGTGTATGTGCTGCTTATTATAATACTGTGTGCTGCTTATAATATTATAGACTGTAATATGCTTTTGAGTATAGCTGATTCTGTGAGAAAGTCAAACACTTCAGTGGCAGAACACCACTGTGTTTCCAGGTTGTCCCTGGCAGGATTGCAAATATCTCTTCTTTCAAATCCTTTTGAGCTACTCTTAGTCAGTATGGATAATTTCACATCATTCCTGACTGGAGTCCAGCATCATTTGGAAGGCCAGAGATATTTCACAATATTGAGATCAGCCTGTGACCACGTTATACTGTATTTTCATATGCTGATAAACATAAAATGGAATATTCAAAAGCAATCAGAATCCATGTTTGGTTCAACTGTATGATGTACAACATCTAAACTACATTTATTTATCACACTTAAAATAATTAGGTTAACACATACTATTTAGTTAGGAATAAGTCCCATCAAGCCCTGACTCACCTCCAGATTAACAAGCAGAGTAATTGTCTGTTACAATGCTTGTGTACATGAAGTATGTCAGCTGTATTTCTTGTGAACTGCCTCACCAGTAGGGGCAGGAATGGTACTATAAATATCTGAGTGAAGGCAATAGCTGTGATGAAGAATATATGAACTTTTGCCTGGGAGAAAATCCTTAAAATCCCCAGCGAGAATAAACTAGTTTCTAATACAGAAGGAAGGGGAGTCGTAATCAATTAACAGAGCAATCCTCTCCTTTTGTCCTATTTCTGTGTCCAAAATACTGAGAACCAGATACCAAGCTTTGTCATGCTGCACATTTAGTGACAACTACAGCCATGACTTCAGAAACAAAACAAAACAACACAGCTAGTTGAGGCTAAACAAGAAAGAAAACTGGAATTTTAATTCACTCAGCTGTTCCATCGCAACTCAGCTCCATGGTAATAGTTCAATAAAAACAAAACAACACAGCTAGTTGAGGCCAAACAAGAAAGAAAACTGGAATTTTAACTCACTCAGCTGTTCCATCACAACTCAGCTCCATGGTAATAGTTCAATAAACACCTGCACACACATGTCAAACATTCGATAAGCATCTTGCTAGCATAGCTGTGAGGAAGACCTTCAGTCAAATAAACAGCACAGAATAGAAGGAGAAGAGCTAAGAAGGAATGATGCAGGCAAAGGCAGAAAAGAGCTGCAGAAGTCCAAAGGGGGGATGGGGTCCAGAGAGAAAGCAAGGAAAGCGGGAAATAAAGGTGAGCCACTGCCAGTGGTGAAGAGGTGGGAAGAGGGACTCTCTCATGTACTTGACTGCTGAGCAACACTATTGCAAAATGTCCACATAGAAGTCCCACCATTTGTAAAAAATCTCAGTGCACGAAATGAATTTAGCCTATCATTATGTGCGCATGTACTTGAGGGTAATGGTTTGTCCATACAGAGGTTAAAGTAATTGGTTCACTGCTGTTCCTTTTGAGGGGAGGGGGATTCCTGCTGACCAGATGGCATAGTGTTTACCTCACAGAGATCCATGACTTAGCGCTACAGTGCTTCCTATGGCGAGTTCATTTCTGTGTCATAAGCTCCCAGCCAGAAATTTTTTATTTCATTAATTAGCACTAAAAACAAACAACAAATCTTCAAGAGCAAAATTGCAGTGAGGAAATGTGTTTGTAATTGTTTAATAAGATTTCTTCTCCACAAGAGCAATTTTTGAGCTTTTGTATTGCTGCGTAGATGCAAATACTGTACCGATTCCATTTCACTTGGGAAAGAACTGCAACCAACCATGCTTACTTACTATGAAACATTTGCCTGTCTATACAATCCTTAAAGTCTAATTGAATTAAATGTGATGTACCTCTAAATAGACACATTGAGGTGGTGGACGTCATTGCTATTCAAATCCATCCTCTCCTATACTAAAATACCCATTTTGAAGTGTTGAAGTGTCACATGATTCCCATTCCCTGAATTGTGTAAGTTAATGCTCTCCTATCTGTCCTTTCTTTCAGACATTAGACATGGCCAGCAATCTACTGACTTCTATACCATCTGATTTGCCTGAATCTCTGGAATATCTGTATCTCCAGAACAACAAGATCACCACAGTGCCAGAAGATGCCTTTGCATCCACACCTAACATAAAGGGAATCTATCTCAGGTTTGTAGCTGTGAGAAAAGCAGTTTTGCCTTGAATTGCCTGTATTATAGGCCAAGGGCCCAAAGACCTGAACACCTGTTCCTCGGGCACAATTTATATAAGCTGAGTGCTAGAACCCTGAACCTCACCCAAGAGAATTTCTCTAAAATTCCACCTCCTTTACAATGTTGTTTTTTTCCAAAAGGAATTTCCTTCTGATAGGAGAAATTCTCATGGGATGAATTTTTGACAGAGTGCTACTACTGATATTGTAAGGAGTCATGTCTGAAGGCACCCTGGGATGGATCAAAGAGGCTATATTTTTTTACCCGTTGATTTTTCAGGAAATCTGATCAGCCCGCTGCTACCACTACCACTCAGTACTTAGCAGACTTACATCTGTCATGTCTGTCAGCATCAGTGGGCCTAGCAGTGTGTTGAGGTCACAGCAGCTGCTCTAAGGGCTTGCAGGCACTAGTTCTGGTTCTCCTTAAAGCCCCAGATGCTGAAACCACTGAAAAGGAAAGATGCAAGAGATAAAATAAACTGTTCCAGAGCTATCTGTGACGCACACCATTAATTGTAGGAGGCATAAGGGATACAAACAGAGACAAAAATGGCTTCTTCCTGTCCATGGAATTGAGGAAGTGTTCAGCTTCTGAGTGTAGGAAGTAGCTGAAGCTACAACGATGAGCCATTGAAAGGTTATTGATTATTGCAGCTGTACATTTAATTTAATTCTGATTTGTAAATTCTTTATACAGTTTTCTGTAAACCATCAAAATTCCTAAAGAGATAAATATAATAGGGGTTTGTAGCATTCATTGAATGCAGATTTATATTTTATAATTATGGATCAAGGATGAGAGGGTTTGATGTCTGCAAAAGGAGTGACTTTGTATGAATATCCTAACTGAGCTGAACTTTGTAAGATACTTTTGAAGGAAGAAAGCTTTATATGGAGGGAACTGAAAACAAAACTGGGAAATGAACAGAAAATTAACGTACTTTATGCAGAATGACACCCCAATTCATAGCTTTCAGGATCATTTCACGACCTACGTGATTCTTTTATATTAGCCCCTACTAGATCTTTTTAATGCATTTGCTCCTCATATTTAGATTAATGATGCAAAATATTTGGATTTAACAGTATGTTACGCTCTCTTTTTTTTAAATCTTGAAGGTTTAACAAGATTGCATTCAATGCAGTAAAAGAGAGCACCTTCCACAGACTGAAGCATCTGCAAGTGCTAGACATTGAAGGGAACTTTGAGTTTAGTGACCCTTTGAAGAATGGATCAGATGAAGACATGGAGGAAGAAGAGGAAGAAGAGGAACAGGAAGTGGAGGAAAACTGAGTGCAGAGACCTTGACTGAATCAAGCATGGCCCTGCTCATGAGTTGCTAAGTTAGCCAATAAACATTTATGACAGGGCATAAATTTCTGCTAGTGCAATACCAGAATTGGCAACATGACAAGGTCAGCAGAGTGTGGCACAGGGATTGTACCAACACAGTAGTATCAAATCTGTCATGGCTTTCCAGCAAGGCATAGCCGATTGCTGTATTCACATCATCCCACAGATTGATGGAGAAGTTTATAGCTACATCAGTTTGCATCCTGCATTTTTTAGTTCACATATACATACAGTTAATAACTGAGTTGTGGGATAATATCATTGCTATATGATAGTAACTGTGGTGCATGGAAACCTGTCCCATGTAGTGTTCTTGTGAAAGTACATAAAGAAGTATTTTCCTGTGGCAGCTTCTGACAATAGGATGTTGCTTTGTACACAGTCTGACTGGTCCACGTAAATCAGGTGTGTTCAGAAGAGTGCATTGATTGGGCCCAAACCCTTTCAGCAAACACATTATTGCCATAGATCTGCCTTAAGTTCTGATCCTTCGCTCCAGTTTTGTTGCACTTTGAATACTAGTTGCCAGTGTTATAAATAGGGTAAGAATGAAGCCAGATGGGGTAAAATGTAGTGAATACATAACATTCTGACTAAATGTTTTGCAAGAACTCATTCAGCAAATTGGCATGTATCCTCGTTTTTGTATATTTATCTATCTATATGTCTGTATCTCTATAGGTATACAGAGTGCACTTAGGAGAAGTGCAACAAATTACACACAAGTAGTTGGCTTGTATGACATTTGACCAGGCAGCACATGATCTGCAACATTCCAAATCTTCTACTTTGCGTATTCGCAAAAGCTTTCACGGCCGTGATCTAATGGTGGTTGTGGGTTTTTCGGGCTCTTTGGCCATGTTCTTCTACTTTGCCTTTACGAAGTATTTTCTGGATCATCAGGGATTTAGGGGGAATTTTCAAAAGCTGGCTTTTGTTTCCCTTCTTTTACTTCTTCCACAGTAATTGTCTTTAAACAATAGTTTACAGATTATTTCCCAAATTAACGTCACTTTCTCTGTGTATTTGGATGAACCACTGCCCTCAGTGATGTGAAAAAAGGATATCATTTCATGTGAGCTTCTTTCTGTCAAACAAACTGAGGCATCTCAACTTCAGATCAAATCAAATGACAAACTTGTCACATTGGACGTGTAACAACAACAACAACAAAAAGAACAAAAGAGTTATGGCACCTTAATAAGGACCCACAGTATGACCCTTTAACCCTTTCTTGGGTTAAAGGCCATTTTGTCAGTTACAAGGACTCCTCTTGCTGGATGCTTCTATCCCTTTTTTGCTTCAGTTCAATATGTATATATAGATTTTTTTTTTAAAAAAAAAATCATATTATGGCTGGATCCCATTTATAATTTATCCCAACTTCCAGAATCTGAAATTTGCCTCTTCATTTACAAAATTTGAAAGTATCTGTTTATTCTGTTTTATGAAAATTAAAATATATTTTTGCTTTTGAAATATTTGTCAAATGTCTTTCATGTATATATATATATACATAGGATGCTTTGCTTATGATCTTTGAAAGACAGAACTCCTCAATCCTTTGCTAAAAATGAATGATTGATGTGAAAACCTTCATAATTTCTTCTGAAGATAAAGAAAGTGACACATCTCCCCCACGAGGGAAACATTTAAATAACATTTGCAGATGCTATTTTATGTGTAAACAAAAATGTGGAAATAATTACTATTACTTAAACAGAAATACAGTCCGTATCACTGTAATGGGGCAGGCAGTGGCGAGGTAATGGATGTTGTCTTCTCAGTCTGTCATCCCCAAACTAAGTTTGGACAGGCAGCTTCGAGGCCTATGACAGCAACCTCTCTCTATGGGTAAAAATTTCAAACAGTCTTCCAAATAGACGATTGTCTAAAGAACGCCCAAGAAGCCAAATTTTGGTGAGGGTTATTGTAGAACTCATTGCCTGGAATTCTCTTGGTGAAGCTGCACAGTTGTAAAACTATGATGTCATCAGCCACAGATATCAATCTTTAGTTTTAAGTTTCTTATCCCTCTCTCCATCCCAGGTTCATATTACAGTTTTGAATTCCTCTAACTGCACAACAGAACTGCAGGGATTCACAGAGCAGAGTTAGCTTTGAGTTCCCCAGAGTAGTCCACCCCCTTTTCTCTCATTAGCTGGTGCTTACGGGCTCAATAATTCATTCTGAGACATTAGTAAGAGAAAGAATAAAAAGCTTAATTTACTTACAGACAATTGAGAGAGAAAAAAATTCTCAGCACAGCAGTGGGGTTCTCTGTGAAATCGATTGATGGTCACCTCAGCACAGAAAAGCCCCTCTCAGCCACACATACTAGAAGCAGCATGTAAGACTGCAAAACAAAATAAAACAAAACAAAACAAAAAAAGAAACCCTCCAGCATTTCAGAGGCCCCATAGGGATGTGTTTCAATCTGAGGAAGTCTTTGTGAGCCTCAGGTTAGAGGAGAAGCCTTTAATGTCTGAAAATCACTGCTGGCAGTCCCTGGTGATGGAATGAACTGATGGAGGCAATTTTTAGATCTTAAAGTCTTCCTCCTTTTGTCCTGAGACTCCCAAAGGCTTCCCCAGGAAATCTCAGGATAGACAGAACCCCTATCCAAGCAGGGATAGGAAATTAATGTCTGTGGCTGGAGACATTATCAGACTTTACAGCCATGGAACTGTGCAATAGGATTTCAGCCACTGTCGTGCATTGTCTTTTTCAGCCTTACTAACCATAGTTCTCTAACTAGAACAGCACAGAAACCTCCTTTTTGCAGTTGGCAGTTGTTATTTTTTTGCTGCTCGTAACCCTTCTGTGAAGTTCCTGTGCATAATTCCTTCCCTTTTGTGAGTGGAATTTTTTATTAGGCTCCCTCCTTTTCCTTCTAGAATAACATTAATGTTTCTGGCTTGTGGGTATGCTTGCACGGTCTCTGTTTTGGCCTAGCGAAGAGGATGGAACAAGCCAAGCATCTGTAGTCCAAGCAGCAACATTTCTAACTGTAGAGACCAGTAGGGAAAACACCTGATAAAAACCCATGCCAACCCATCCTGCCAAGAAATCTTGACATTAGGATGGTGGTTTGACTCCTTCCCCAAGCTGGGCCTCTCCAAAAGAGCATGTCAGTGTGCACACAAATGCAGCTGTTACTGTTGACCCAAGAGGCCCAAGTGGTGGGTGGGGTGGAGAGAGAGCTACACAAGGCAGGACTTTTGTTATGGGAACGTCATGTATTTCCTAACCATTAAATGACAATAACTTTTTGGACAAATTGTTCTATGTTTCTGCAGCTAAAGGGTCTTTGGAATTTGAAGTGCTGTGTGCTTAACTGTGTTTTAAATAACGTGACATTTTGTTGGGTTTCTTTCTTTCTTATGTGCCATTCTTGGCAGGAAAGTGGGCTATGCATTAAATAGATAAATAAGGAATATGAGTGCTAAGTTAAAATCTTGCTTAATGCTGTCCGTGCACAATTTAATAGTTTTTAAGCATGTCATTATTTCCTTTCAACATCATAGAGATACATAGTCTAGGGCATGTCTATACATTTGGTGCTGGAATTTCAGTACAATTGCCAACGCGGGGAGGGGGCCCAAAGGGATCCCCCCAGGAGGCGTTGCCTTTGCCAACTTCCCGGATGCCACGCGAGGCTACAGGACTTGCCTGAGATCAGCCGAGGGGCGTGGGCTGAGCAGGGCATATTTAAGGGGGCAGCCACGTTGGAAGCTCCCCTTTTGTTCTTGTGAGCGGCAATTGTACTGGAATTTCAGTACAATTTGTCTATCGGTGGGCAGAATACACAGTAGCAGAGTAACGTTTAAAAGAACTCAAATGCTTCCAACCTGCTGAAATCTTCAGTACATTTCAGTGTCTCATTTAGAATCACTGGGGCATATTTTGTGTTCTCCTCTACAGATCTTTTTAGGAATTGTAGAGAAAGACTGGCAGTCTTGAACATAATGATATTGGACACAATATTCATAGAGTCATAGAAAAGTGAAGTTGGAAGGGGCCTCCAAGGCCATCAAGTCCAACCCCCTGCTCAAGGCAGGAATACAAATCAAAGGATATCTGCCAGGTGATTGTCTAAGTTTTTCTTGAATGCCTCCAGTGTTGGAGCACTCACCTCTCAAGGTAATTGGTTCCACTGTTGCACATCTATAACAGTTAGGAAGGATATTCAACAGAAATCTGGTTTTCTTTAACTTGATCCCATTGTTGCATGTCCTGCACTCTGGGATGATCGAGAACAGATCCTGCCCCTCCTCTGTATGACAGCCTTTCAAGTATTTGAAGTTTTATCATATCACCCCTTTGTCTTCTTTTCTCAAGGCTAAACATGTCCAGTTCTTTCAGTCTTTCCTCATAGGCCTTGGTTTACAGCCCCTGATCACCTTTGTTGCCCTCCTCTGAACTTGTTCCAATTTGTTAGCATCCTTCTTGAAGTGTGGTATCCAGAACTGGACACAATGCTCAAGGTGAAACCTAACCAGTGCTGAATACAGGGGGACTAGAGCCTTGTGGGATTTGGAAATTATACTTTTGTTAATGCAGCCTAAAATAGCATTTGCCTTTTTTGTAGCCACATCACACTGTTGGCTCATATTCACCTTGTGATCTTTAATAATTCCAAGATCCTTCTTGCTTGTAGTATTGATGAGCAAGGCATCCTCCATGTTGTCATTGTGCATTTGGTTTCTTTTTCTGAGGTGCAGTACTTCACATTTATCCATGTTGAATTTCATTCTGTTGTTTCCAGCCCAGTGCTCCAGCCTATCTAGATGATTTTGAATTTTGTTTCCGTCTTCCAGGGTATTAGCTATTCCACCCAATTTTGTGTCATCCACAAATTTGAAAAGCATTCTCTGCACTCCCTCATCCAAGTGATTAATAAAAAATGTTTAAGAGCACCAGACACAGGACTGAGCCTTGGGGTACCCCACTTGTTACCACCTCCCAGTGGAGGTGCAGTTTGGTTCAAATCAAATTACGGTGTCCCCACATGTTTTGATTTAGAGCATTCCATCCCATCCCCCTTTTTACAGGTGTCCTGATCCTATCTGGCTAGGGCTTGTTGTTGTTTTTTAATGCAATTTGGCACACTCCTAATTATCTTGTTGTGTAGCCTGTGTGGACAGTTAGTCTGCACCCAAATAGGTGGTGTTATCTGAAGTGGCAAGCCTGTGATTTATCTGATAGATTGTGCCATGGAAAGGGACAATGGACAACCCAACTTGCCCTGTATTTGCATCAATTCTCTCATTTAAATTTTTAAAAATATATTTCCTATTGATGCAGCACTATTCTAGATAAACGAGATACAGTACATTAATGGTATACCCAGTGGTATCTGGCTACCTATCTGTTTGATAGGATTAAATATAATTTCCAACTTACTACAGAATTTTCTAAAGGAGAGACACCCTAGTTCTGTTGCCCTGAGAGAAAGAAGGAAGAAGCTGATAGCACTTAATGATCAGTCAACCATCTTGCTCCCAGTTTGGTCTCTCCCCATTCAACTTGCCACAACTGAAGCGTTTTGAAGGATAGCTATGACCTGAGGAAAGGAGAAGAAATGGCTTCTTCAAGACAAATAGTTTTCTGGTCTCTCTGTTTTATGCTATAATTGTATGTGCATTGTTTTAATAATTTTATGTAAGTCACTTCATGAAGCCTGACTGAAAAATGGAAAAGAGATCTTAATAGGGTTTTTTTTTAATATGAACGTCCAAATGCATTGCTGTAACTGTTTATCACTTGCCTGTTTCCAACAGATCATATTTCAGTAATTCAAAAGCCTATTGGGGAATGGAAAAGAGATCTTAATAGGTTTTTTTTTTTTTAAATATGAACGTCCAAATGCATTGCTGTAACTGTTTATCACTTGCCTGTTTCCAACAGATCATATTTCAGTAATTCAAAAGCCTATTGGGCAGGCAAACTGTGGATTCAATCTCACATTTAGACATATGTCTGAGTTCTCATTTTCCTATAATATATCACTGCAACTGCTGATCATATAAGTAGCATGGATAAGATACATTGTACTAGTGAGTTCCTCAGGAGAAAGAAAACAAATAGGGGGGGGGAAATCCACCAAGATGAGCAGATACTTTAAAGCAAACCACCCTCAAATTTGTAAGAGCACTCCCACGAGGATAAACCATAAATCTCATCAGAAAACTCTGAACCAGCAATGTTCTTCTAGGTATTAAACACAATATTTTCCTTTTATTTATGTGTGTGTGTGGAGTGCAGGTATTAGACACAGTTCTTATGCTTTGTTCCATTGACTGAAAAAGTAATGAAGCTTGTCCAAAAGCAAGTCCAGAACACAGAAAGGAAAAAAAAACAGTTGAAGGTCATAGTAACCAGAGGAAATACTAGAGG